CGATTGCCCTTCTTTTCTTTTGACTGAGTATTTGCAATGTTGAATTTTGTATTCTTTTATACAAGGTAAAGAAGTATCAGTTTTGAACCTCAAGATACTGTGGACGAAGAGTTTCCTTTTTCCTTTCTTTAACTTTACCATTCAGGGTTGATTACAGGGTTGCACTGTAATGTTGCATTTTGTTAGCTGACATTTCATTATGTTTTTATTTGACGTAAAACTGTGATTTTCTTTTTTTTCTCTCATATTTTTTTTGTTGGCCAGACTGCATCCCAGCTTGTTTAGGCTCTGTATTCTGTAGTGTTGATGCACGCTGCTCTCTCATGTAGGGATAATGGCAAACTTCAACTGGCACATTCCACATCTACAGCAGTTTGCTCCTTTAGATGTTGTACAAACTTCAAGCAGAGAGGTTTGAAATGCATTGTGGTGAGAGGATCATGTACACCAGCTGGCCTCACCAGTTAGTCATTGATCGTCTCATCACAATGCAGTGTTTTACTGGGAAACCTTTGGTCCTGCAATACATATTTTACCTTGAGACACGGCACAGCTCACTATGGCAGTGGCACTCCCCGATCACTACAGCCTCTGGTCACAGCTGTTGTGCAGGTGTTTGTGTGTGTGTGTGTGTCATTTGTAAAATGGAAGTGGTTATAATGAGTTGGTCACGCACACACAGCTGGTCTCAGTGGATATTACATAAGGATTGTGGGCAGCAAATTAAAGATGTGGCATCATTTTCTTAGGCTCTTTGATAACTCATAGAAGGTTGCAGGCAAACATGGCTTACTGTTTGAAATCCGTTTGTAGCCTAACCATAGCATTTAGCTTCAACCGTGAACATCAAGAGTCTTCCTGCTGTTTGTTGCAAAACATTAAACATTTGCTAGTGTCTTAGTATGTGTGTGCACTTATAAAATTCACATTTGTAAACTTTGTAATCACAGTTGTTTCCCTGTAATCTTACACAGTCCTAATATTACTTGTGACATTCTATGTTTCTCAGGAAACTGAATGATCTGTTGAGTCTTTTTTGAAAGAGAAAGTCCAGAATATATAACACTTAGGTCACTAATGGTTTGATGTAAAAAAAAAAAACCAATTCATTGACTAGGAAAATGTTTGGTCAGGAGCATCCTTAATGATAACCGTTTAAGCACAGTTAAATCATCCAGCCGTCCAGCGGAGAAGATCGAGTGCAAGCCAACAGGACAGTCTGCTTCTCACACCACACAGGAAACACACACATCTATTTTGGCCCAAACAGTCCTACTTGCCAGATTTTACCTGGAACATGAAAGTCAAATGGTCAGAGTTCGACTATCAGGGAGCAATCCAAGTACTAGGAGCTCCGGGAGGTTTGCTGCACAAAGAAAAGAGAACTGTCAGAAATTTTGATTGCACCTGGTACATATCGAAAATTCTCATTGTCGTCTCATATGCAGCAGTCTCACACCATGTGTGCACCTTGGCCTTTAAGCAACACAAAAGGGAAACATCCCAAATAAGAAAACCTACCTCTGTGGAAGAGAGAGCAGCGGGTATCAGAGCTGTGTTAACTGTTGATTGGCTGGTAAGACAGCTGATTCACATGAAAACAAGTCTTGCAAGCTGCCAGGCAGCATAGAGTGGGTTTGCTTGCCGTCTGAAGACACTGAATTCTGCTGTGTTTAGGTTGTTCAAAGTGAACATACATTTACTGGTTTGGGGGTTGTGCTTAATTATCTGTAATTCCTCACTAAGAACAAAGCCTTATGTTTGTATTTCAGTCAGACATTCCTGTGAACTGCAAGAAGCTTGTAGTCTTCATGGGGACTGACTGCTGCTATTTATCGCAGGAATCGATCACTGTGAAAGCCAGACAGTTTGGGGAATACCGAAATGAGAGCAAGGTACAAAAATCAACTTCAGCCTGACTAGTAATCCTCTGACTCGTGTTCCTGCCTGTAGAATGATAGAAATCGGCCTACAAAGCAGGTGTCTGCTGAACCCTTTGATAATTTTAACTTTCAAAGACAAAACCACAAAGAGGAAATGGAATGCTGTGAAAATGACCGACGCATGCAAATGATCACTCCTGGTTTTGGATGTTGCATCAGTTGTATTTGAATAATTTATTTTTTGTTGCCTGCAAGTGGACAAAAAAAATGAAGCTATATGACACTAAGATCAGATTTAAACAAAACAAACTAACACTTTGAAGTAAATGCTGAATCTTTTCAGGATTGTGTTTGGGGAATATTTGCATAGCAACTTGTAATGATGATTTGGTGCGCTGCTGTAATTTGTCAGTTGGATATTCGTGTTTTCTGATCATAGCTAATGTTGGACTTTTGAGTAAAAAGTCCTCAATCATCTCCAGTGTATTTCCTTTAGTTTCTCTTCTAAAAGGAAATGAAGATCCTCTTAGGACCCGATTCTTCTTTTGATACTGACATTTTTACACATTTGTCCAATCTAAATGTTGAAAGATTTACACCGTTTCTGAAAATGGTTTGTACAGTAATCCTCTGTAATGGTATACTTCAGTACTCGGTACATATTAGGCCTTTCATAAGGCTGGCTAGTTTTTATTGATTTTAATATGCAAATGAAAGACAGCTAGTAGAATCGTATATTGATCATGGTGTGTAAAACAATGAAATAAGCCTTAAATATGCTGTGAAATGGATACATCATACATGTAGTGGTTGCAAGAAGCAGCACAATGGATGTTTCATTGGTTATAGTGGAATAAAGGACATGTGGAATTGTATTTCTGATCTTTTCTTTGTCTCGCCACCATGTTAGGGTGATGAAATACCAATATTGTAGTAATACAACAATATTTCTGAGTACTTTGGAAACTGTGAACAACATGACAGAATGTGGTTTTCAGAAGTATTTTGATCCATGCCATGACTTCCATTCCACAATCTGCAGTGAACATAACAGCCATTCAGTAGTGGTTTTCTCCTTTATACAGAAATTTGTCAAAAGTGTCATTGATAAAATCTCCTAATATTTTGCTTTCCTATTGATAAACTGTATTCATACATTTTAGCTGTATCCCTAGTTGAACTTTTCCTCATCTACAAGAGAGACCTTCTCCCAGTTATTGGGTAATTCTTTTTGTTTGTTTGGTATTTTATTTTTTTCCTGGCATCGCAAAACAATTTCAGCCTTAAATTCCAATATGTCTAATTAACTTTATGCTTTAAATGAGCTATTAATTTTATATTGTTCTAACTTTTTCAGGTTGTAGTCTGTGCCTGGCCTTCCATTAGCCATTCTGGGTATGACTCATCTATTAGTACCTGATTCACAGGTGCTGCCAGATACTCATGCAGTGCAGTTAGCTTCTATAGTCAGTAGATGTGAATCATGTCTGGGCCTGGTGCTGTCCAGGTCTTCATGCTTGAGACCCTTTCTTGGATGTCTGCCACTGTGATGGTTACTGGATCCTATTCAGGGAGGTTGCTGTGGTTTCCTCTTAGATCCACTAGCCACTGAGCATTCTTGTCATGGGTTGTGTCCATGTCCCATACGCTTATCCAATATTGCTTCATCTCCAGCCTTGGTTGGGCTGTTCTCATGTTGTTCCGCTGCCACTGAGAGTACACCTTGGATGGTTAAGTGGAATAGCAGCTGGCCAAAGCTGTGAGTCTTTGCCTGGCAGTTTCCGAGGCCTCAGATATGGACAGCTAAGACATACTGATGGCATTGGTTACAAAAGAATGTAAACTCCCATCCTTTCTGTCTGGCAGCTGTTGCCATTAGAATTATTAACTGAATGGACTGTTGTGCCAAACACATTTTTCTTTTCCCAAATTGGCTCTAATGAAGGGGGGAGAAAATATAACAAGGAAGAGCTCCAGATGACCAAGGAAGGGTGTTAACGACCACACCAGAACATCCAGCTGCATTCCAAGGAGGGGCAGCAGGGAGAGGTAGAGAGAGGAAACCCCTCCCTCCACGATGATGTCCCATGGGAGCCAAGGCTGTGTTAAACATACAACAGTTTAACAATATTTAGACAAGCCTGTGAAATACCAGGAGAATATACAGTGTGGGCCATTTATATGGATACACTGTAATAACATGGGAATGGTTGGTGATATTAAAGTCCTGTTTGTGGCACATTAGTATATGTGAGGGGGCAAACTCCTCAAGCTGGGCGGTGACCATGGTTGCCATTTAGAAGTCGGCCATCTTGGATAAAACTTGTTTTTTCAATAGGAAGAGGGCCATGTGACACATCAGACTTATTGGTAATGTCACAAGAAAAACAATGGTGTGCTTGGTTTCAACGTAACTTTATTCTCTTTTACCCCCTCACATATACTAATGTGCAACAAACAGGACTTTAACATATCACCAGCCATTCCCATGTTATTATGGTGTATCAATATAAATGGCCCACCCTGTAGAATACAATAGAATAATCCTTTAATTGTCCCACAAGGGGAAATTTGGCAGCAGCCAGAAAGACACAGAAAGACACACAGACATATAGTCTGGTCAGGTAGGACAAAACTTGAACTCCAAACCGTAATACACAACATGTTTGGAGGTTCAAACTTTGTTGTCTTAGGTTGTTACGCAGTGCCTTTTGAGTTGGAAATATCAAGTTGTGGGCCTGTTCTTGATACATTCTTGATAAAAATCTGCTGCTATCAACCAAAATAATGGTGGTGGACAAACGAGGGTAGACATTCAGGAAGACCATGATTCCAAACACAAGCCAAGAAAACTCAGAAAAGAAAATAAAGCTACTAGAATCGCCCAGCCAATCACCTGAACCGAATCTAATTGAAAATCTGTGGTAAGAAGCAAAGCTGATAGATATTTGAGTTCATAGAAGGGGCCCACAAAACCTTCAGAATTTGAACTGTTTTTATGGAAGAATGTGCCACACCTGAGTAATGCATGATACCAGGTTCTCCATATAGGAGGTGTCTTGAAGCTGTCATCACCAACAAAGTCTGTTGTAATTAATATGCAAACTGTCATGACCACTGATCAACAACCATTGATCATAGACCACTGATCAATGGCCATAAATACCATTAACAGAGAGTTGGAGAATGGCTCCAATTACAGCATTGGAAGATGGAGAAAGATGTACTCTGAGGCCCCCTTTCGATTCAGAGATGGTCTTTCCCTATTTACGTAAATGGCCTCCTTGACTCCGCACTCAAGCCAGCGTTCCTCCCTATGGATGTTACATCCTCATCATTGAAAGAGTGTCCACTGGCCTGTAGGTGTGAATAGACTGCAGAGTCCAGGCCTGACGAGGGAGCTCTTCTGTGTTGTGCCATCCACTTCACCAGATGTTGTTTGGTTTCCCCGATGTATAAATCCTGGCAATCCTCCTGGCATTTAACAGTGTACACTTCTGTTTGTGTCGGGGGACCCGATCCTTGGGGTGGACCGGTTTTTGTTGCAGCATATTTTGGGGTTTAAAAGCCACAGAGACCCGGTGTTTAGAAAAAAATGCGTCTCAACTGTTCCGAAACGCCTGACAGATATGGGCTCGCTAAGGGTTTTCGCTTAGGCAGCGGTTGTCCTTCTCTCCTGGATCGGCTGGAGCCTTCTTTTGGCGCCTTCCCAGCTTTGACAAAAGTCCTGCTGGGATAACCACATTTACTCAGGGCCTTCTTGAACTGGTGTTTTTCTGCTTCCCTGGCCGCTGTGTCTGTGGGGATGGTGTTCGCTCAATGTTGTAGTGTCCTGATAAAGCTCAGTTTGTGCTCCAGTGGATGATGAGAGTCAAACTTCAAATACTGATCCGTATGCGTAGGTTTACGGTACACATCATGTCCCCCATTACTGATGGAAATCTCACAGTTTAAGAAGTCTAACCTGCCACTTTTCATATCCTCCCTGGTGAATTTGATGTGTTGGTCCACCGAGTTAATGTGATCTGTGAATTGTGGTACGTCCTGAGATTTGATTTTCATCCAGGTGTCATCCACATACCTGAACCAATGACTTGGTGGTCTTCAAGGGGAGGATGACAGAGTCACATAACAGGGCCAAAATGGGTGAAACTGGGGAACCCATGGAGTACCCATGTTTCTGTCTGTAGAACTGACCCTTGTATTTGAAATAGGTGGAATTAAGACACAGTTCCAAAAGCAAACACACTTGGTCGATGCTGAGAGTGGTCCTGTTACTGAGGTTGGGGTCACCCTGTAATCTCTTGCGAACTACCTCCAACGCTTCAGTGACTGGAACACAAGTGAAGAGAAGTGTAACATCATACAAGACCATCTAACTGTTTTAGACAATTTATCACTCTCTTCCTGTAACCACTTCCTGGGCTTGTTTCAGAGGCTCATAAGTGTTTTTGTCACTGAGCAGTCACAAAACAGTGTGACCAGCAAACCACCCCCACATGTAGAGACCATTCATTTACCTTTTCTGCACTGCAAAAAGACACGATAGGTGGAACCAACGATCTCAAATTTGGACTCATCAGACTAAAGCACAGATTTCCACTGTTCTAATGTCCATTCCTTGTGTTTCTTGGCTCAAACAAATCTCCTCTGCTTGTTGCTTTTCCTTATTCGTGGTTTCTTAGCAGCTATTTGTGCATAAAAACCTGAATATTCACACAGTCTCCTCTGAATGTATATATGTATGCTATATATATATTTATATGTATATATATATATATATATATATATGTGTGTGTGTATATATATATATATATACACTGTGTGTGTATATGTATATATATATGTGTGTGTGTGTGTATATATGTGTGTGTGTGTGTGTATATATATATATATATATGTGTGTATATATATATATATATATATTATATGTGTATATATTATATGTGTGTATATATGTGTATATATATATATGTGTGTGTGTATATATATATATGTGTGTGTGTATATATATATATGTGTGTGTGTGTATATATATATATGTATTGTGTATATATATATATGTATTTATATATATATATATATGATGTATATGTATATATATATATACTATATATATGTATATATATATATGTATACGTATATATATGTATACGTATATATATGTATACGTATATATATATGTATACGTATATATACGTATACGTATATATACGTATACGTATATATATATATACAGCCTAGGTTAACCAATGGCTAACTGAAGGCCGGACGGTCCTGATCCCCAAGGACCCCAAGAAGGGACCGGTCCCCTCCAACTACCGACCAATAACCTGCCTCAGTACTACATGGAAGCTCCTGTCAGGCATCATATCGGCTAAGATGAACAGGCACATGGGTCAATACATGAGTGGGACACAGAAAGGGATTGGCAAGAATACCAGAGGCGCAAAACACCAGCTACTGGTAGACCGAACAATCAGCCGAGACTGCAAGACCAGGCTGACCAACCTGTGCACTGCCTGGATTGATTACAAGAAGACCTATGACTATGCCCCACACATGGATCCTGGAATGCCTAGAACTACAAGATCAATCCTAAGAGCCTTCTCTTTTT